GAGGACGCCAGTTTGGAGGAGGTAGTGGTGGAGCGGGGCCCGTCCCTCCTCTCCAGCTCCCGGGGAGCCTCGCCTGCTCCTTCAGCTCCCTTCAGTTTCCCCCTAATTCTTTAAATCCAGTTTAAACCTGAGACGGTGAGTGCTGGCCCGCAGGTCTGACCTCTCTCTCCTTTGCGAGCAGGACCGCTTGAGCGATTTTATGCACAGAAGAGAACGAGGAGAACTTTTAATGCAGAAAATAGACAAACTTCAATATAATCTTTTGAAGAAGGTAATTTTGAAAGAAATTATGTAAATCCTCTGTGCCTTCACATAGAATGGCATAGCTGTTACTAGTGCTCTTTAGGCATTAAGAATGCTGGGGATTAGCGTTTTGTCCACTAAAATATGTCTGATATTAGATTCAGATAATGCTGTTAAAATTTATGTATATTTTAATTTAGATACAGCTGTCAGTATCTAGGGATGGATTTGTTCATTTTGGAGACACTGTGATGCTTTTGAACCCAGACAACAAATCCGCTGCGGAGAACTACCCTGGAGCGAGCGGCAGTCTGACTTTGGCAATCAATCTGGATGAAATACCCATGTGTTCAGCCAAATCATTGCAAGCTCCTTGTGGAGTTAGTGCAGTCAAGAGTGTGGACCCTGTGGGCCGAAATACTTTTTGTATTTTAAGGTTTGGTACTCTATTCTGAGTTGTTTTCAATTATTATATTAACATTCAGTATCTTGTTTTGAGAAATACATGATGAGGTTTGCTAATATACAAATGCATTTGAGCAAGATTAATTTAAGAGTCTTTAACTTGAGTCATGCATTAAGCTGGAATCTGCTGTGCATATTACTGTGAATAATTTCAAGGAAGTTTAAATCAGCTTAGAACTGTTGTGAAAACGGAGTGAGTTTGCTGTATCGTTTGGTATATTCTGCAGCTGTTTTTATTGTGGTCGTATTTCAGCTGTAGAATACAAAACCTCCAAATATCACTTAGTATTATAATTAACTCTCCTGCAAATAAGGTCTCTGAAGGAGAAATTTGTGTCAATGTTTTTGCTGCACACTAAGTGGGTGGTGTTTGTGTTGTCCTAAAAAGCCCCTAACCAAACAGCGTGTCTTTCTCTCAAAGACATGTTTAATTCCAGCTGTCTGGGGGAGAAGAAATAGAAGAACAGGGTCCCGCTCAACAGTTGAAGGCTCTGCCTGAGTGCCTGTATTTAACAGTAGTAATGGTGCGCGAGAGTACAAACTAACCCATGTAATCCTCGTTGTGCTTTGGATTAGACCTAAGGAAGAATTTTGATGCCAAGAGCATAATTTAGACCTTCTAGAACTGCAACCAAAATATTATTGCTTAGCTTTGTCTGATCTTGGAGTCATTGGCACTGAATGCTGTTGAGTCCTGCTTTAACTCCCTACTAAGTTCATTAGCTACATAAGTTTTTTACACTGAACATACTTATAAAGCATATCACTTCATTTAGTGATTTTTTTAATGTAAAACACAGAAATCATTCTGGAAATAAGGATAGACCAGCATGTATGTTGATGTAATGAACCGAATTATTGAATATCAGTTACATACAAGATTAGCAACATATGTTAAGTTGCAGACAAACGCACACTGTTCTGATTTCAGTCTGTGATTTTTCAGATGCTTGTATATAAATGTATTTTAAAGGGGGTCTCAGTGCTGAATTCCAATTGATTTTTTATTGGATGTTATCTTTCCACCCTGCATGTTAATGAGTACATCATAAAAAGTAATCAATACAGCCTGTTTCTATTCTGTGGAATATTTTAGACAGTATGTCAAGCATAAAATGTCTTTTCAGTTAAGATATTTTACCTATTTTTAAAGGTAAGCTTAATACAGAGTGTTGCCGCGAGACACAGCTACAGACCAAAAGAAAAAGAGTATAGTGAAGCTGATTATTTGAACATCTCTTTCTTCCTTTTTACAATTTTAACAGTGTTGATGGAGGTGCAGTGGGTGAGCCGATTAGATTTGGGCAAAACTTTGGTCTTGGGACAACAGGAGGGTTTTCTGACCCAATGGTAAGGCGGTAAAGTTGCGAATTACAATGGTAGCGTATACTGATAGCGTGCATTTAATTGCTGTCTCTCTGTATATAAAGCTGTACGGTGGTTCACTACCTTAGCTTTACAGAACAGATTCAGAATCATACATGGATCAAGATAAGCAATACCTGTTTAGAAAGTTTGTGCAACTTGCCTGAGATCAGGTGTGCAGGCCAAGGGGGCTGTCAGCCAGAATGCCTGGATAAAGGAGATTTTAAAAAAGAAAAAAAAAAAAAGAAGGAAATTAAAATTAGCTTGTGAATTGTGAAAGAATTCGTCATTAGGGAGAGTATTTACACTTTAAATAAATCCAGAATGTGAAGATTTCATTTCTTACGAAGATATACCTATAGTAGGTATAAGAAGTAACATACTATTCTTTCATTCTGAGGGAACAGATTTCTGTTAATGTTAATGTTGTTTCCCTCTGCAAGTTAGAAGCAAATAAGACGTTACATGTTACATATAGACTCAAAATAATCACCATAACTTTGAAAAAATGTTACCTCTCAACAGCGATTTTGGTGAGAGAGAATCTTTGGAATGTAAAGTCAATTTTAAATCAGTATTCATCAGTCTGCATACAGAATAGCTACTTAATGAGTTTATCAACATAGAATCTATGTTACGGGTTTTGTAGGTGTAGCTTTAGCTTGGCAGACTGATTTGTCAGGAGCTGAAAGAAAATTTTTTGTATTGAAAAATATTTTTTAAAATTACATCTCTTATTTCTTTTATATTTATACTGCCCTTAATATATATTTTTATTTACAGTTATACCTAGCAAGTGACCATAAATCATTTATAAGATTTGCTAAAAAATCTTACCTACAACAAGTATTTTTGACAGATGAGCTTTCCTATTTGACTCGCTGGCAAGCTACCTTCTTGGACCCACAGCTGCGACTTGAATATGAAGGATTTCCTGTTCCTGTAAGAAATTAAAACTTTAGAAAATGTTATGGAGACTTAATTGAAACAGCAGATGGAGTCCTTAGAAAAAAGTTGTGTCCATTTTATTCACATATGTACGTTCTGACCTGTAATTTTAGGAAGGGGGAGAGGGAAGGAACAATCTCTTTAACCAGGGAATTTGCATACAAAACTATGAGGTTCTGGTGTTCATTTTGAGGTTGACTTGCTCAGTTTTTCTCACCAGAATTTTTTAAAGGTTGACATTATCATGTTGTGAGGATGCAGTATTTGGAGGATGCTTTTCAGGACTTCTCATCACTAAATTCCATTTCCAATATCAGGAGCTGTGGTTAATTAAGAACTCCCATACATTAAATCTTGGGGTGTCCCCAAGGCACCTGAGTAAGTGGATGCTCTTCCCAATGTGGTTTTTAACCTTTTGTAAATATGTTAAGCAGGTGCAGTATCTTCCTGTCCCACATAACTGCTAGGCTTCCCGAGGTGCTGCGTGTATAGCAAAATATCACCAATATAACTATTCCTCTACGGCTTTGAACTGCGACTCATTTACATGAATCAGCTCACTAATAAACACTGACAAAACTATGTAATTGCCAAAGACAACATGCTTTATTCACAGTGTTGGTAAGTGGAGGTGACTAAAAATTAATTCTGTTATACATAAAAATTTGCAAATTTCTAAAACATAAAGGCCCATTTCTACCCTGTGTCCCCAAGTCATCTGGATCTCTCATATGGCAAATATCAATTGTAAGAGGAATTACCTTGATGTCACAAGCCACTGGAATGACTCTCTACTACTTGCTTGGCTTTATTTTTTATTTTTGCTTTTTGAAGTTCCCAGCACAAAGGAGTGGAATGGAATGTATTGGACAGGAGGATGTGTCTGACCTGAGGGCTAAGCATTTAGCTGGTCTGAGCTGTTAAGACAGTTGTGTTGAGAACTGATAAGGTATAAAATATCTCATGATAAATGTACAGCAGTCTCAGGGTGATACAGAGCAATGTGGGCTTACGCTAAGCAGTAAATACAAGCATTTAATTTGAATAAGAATAGTTAAAATTAGTGTAAAAATATCTGTCAAGTGTCTTTCCTTGGTTTTTTTTCCAGGCAAACTCTAAAATGATTATTACTCATTGCCATACTAATCGGAGCTTAGCTGTTCCAAGGAAATTTTGGACCAGGTAAGAACAATTTATAACTTGCAGAGATGTGCATAATGATGTGCCACCCTCAAGAATTACTGTAAGAAGCAAGACAGGTGCTTTGGGAATGCACTGAGGAAATGGTAAAGAACACAGAATGCATGTTCTCCTTTCCCTTGCTTTGTTACTGGGCTGTACTGTGTGCCACTGTGATGTGGCAGACAATCAGCTCAGTCTTATCATTTTTGTGTGGTTTTGTTTGGTTTGTGGTGGGTTTTGTTTGGGTTTTTTTTTTTTTTTTTTAATTCATATATCATGCTTCTAGCCTTCTCTTGTTTCTTGGTGGTTCTCGCTTTGAATGTCTTGAGCAATTATGGTTGTTTAGGGTTTTTTTTGGAGAAAAAAATGGTACTCTAAGAAGCATATGGAGTAAGAGAACTAAATAAAACCACATTGCATAAAAGTGTATATTGCTTATGTCCATATGAATCAATCTCTCAACAAATTGAAGTTAATCCAGCAATTCAAGTTAATTTGCATGCATTAAATTAATATTGATTAGGCATTGTTAAGGAGTATACCAGCTGCTTCCCATTAAATTCTGAGCAAGATCTGACTGAGGATTTGTATCATGTTTTTGAGGTTGAAACAAGGTCTGAAAATTAAAGGCTGAAACAGTTATTAAATAGCCAGAGTCTCCTTCTAGAGAGAGAAAAGGTGATGAGAACCTAACCAGCTTGCACACACCGAGTTGGTGTATCAGTGCCTTGTGAGATGGGGGCTGCTTTAGCTCTGAAGCTGGAAAGGTGGCATTTCCCTTTGATTTCAAATTCCTAAATTATTCATAGGTAACAATGTGGGCTATTTGGTTCCTTGTCGCAGTCTGATATTTGAAAGCGCTTGGTGATATTTCTGAATAAGCCAAGAGAAACATGAGAAAACCTTGAACAATTCACAGATAATACAGATTTACTGGTTCTGTGTACATATTAATTCCCCCTGCCTATCCCCTTTTCTTTGACTTTGCAGGTCTTATTTTGGAAATGAATACGAAGTAATTTGTCACACTTACCTTGACTCCCATAAAGCTGAGAAAGATAAGAATTACTGGGAAATAGTTACAGGAAATCCCAGCGATGGGAACGGCACCATGACACCCAAGGGGAATCAGAAAGAATGAGTTTCATCAAGAGACCTAGAATATAAAAATCCCAGACTACAGCTGACAGTAGTTAATGAGATTCTGATTCTTGCTTTTTCTGTTCAGATTTTAGTTTTAGAGATGTTTGTTTTAAAAATGGAAATGAAAGTCTACCATTAGTAATATTGCATAATTTCATTGACTCATCAAGGTTACACAGTGGGCAAAACCTAATAAAATTTGATGAACTATGCACAACATCAAAAATTCGTGAGTCAGGAAGGGTTACTTTTCCTATTTTCAAGTTCACTGATGGTAAAAGATGTCAAAATCCAGGAAATCTAATATATTTTCGCTAAATTACTGATTTCAGACTCAGTCAGAGTGTATTTAACTAATTATTCCAAAACCAAACCAGTGTCACACTTTTTAAAAGAGTGAGTGTGCAGTTTCCAAAACAGTGAAAACTAAACTCATGTAAGCCATCACGGGATACTTTGACATTTAAAGTTCATCTGAAAGAAAATTCATTGTTGAGTTTGTTCCACACTGTCTAGCACAATGTTGCCAATTATTAAAAAATCACAAGTGAGCTCTCTTTATCTCGAGATTGGCTCCCAATTTATGGGAATTAATTTAAAAAAAAAAAAAGATGTAAATTGAGTTTATATTTGTTCATGTATTCTAAACATTTAAATGCCAAGTAATCAAGAACTTGAGCACAGTGATACAGACTAGAGACTTCTGACAGCCTTTTCCATGCATCACCATGTTCCATTTGCCTCCCACCCACAGAATTTTTCAATCCATAATCATTTCTACCAAGTTTGACAGCAAGGTAAAATTGTCAAAGAAAATTAAGCTCCCACAAGTTTCGTGAAAATAAATGCCAAAGTAGAAAAAGAATAAGAGACACTGTAAGTTTATCCAGTCAGAAAAAGATTGTAGTCTATGTTCACAACTAATTAGACATCAGAGAATCTACGTGAAAAAAAATGGCCCAGGAATGGTAAAAATTTCAGCTGGAACTCACATATTCCTAAACAACACAATCAACCAAGCATGAGATGCAAAGACATGGAAAACAGACGTCATTACTTTGTAGTTACCTGTCTTTATCTGAAAGCTGAAACAGCAGCACAGAGAATCTTCTTGATGTGTGATGTTTCATTACATCTGTTCAGTAAAGCTACTTGCATACATATTCTATTGCTTACTGTACCACAAGAGTGGGCTCTTTCTGCACAAAGTGAATTTATGAGTAAAATACTACATAAATCTCTGTTCTCAAAAAGGATTCCAAAGCTCTTCAATGTTCACAAAGGTCAAATAAAACTTTTTAAGTTTTAATGGTTTTGTTTTGGTAAACTTTCACAAAAGCAGGGACAGATCCAAACATATCTTCAAGCTCCATCCCAGACAGACTATCTGTTCAAACGTACTGGCACAGTTTTACAAGTTCTTGCCTTTGTTCAATACAAATTAAATCAGCAGACTGCAGAATTGGCTAACTAGCACTTGGCATACACGATCTTAGAGCAGGAGACAGAGTAAAGATCTGTGACATGCAGGTTTGCTTTGGGGGAGTGTTATAGATGGGGTATTATAGAGGAAATTATCTTTAGCAACCTTTTCTTTCACTTTCTATGTAAAGATATGAAACTTGATGTGTGGCAAATGATGCATTTTTTAACAGAGGTACTGTTACTACTCCAGTTTCCAGAGATTAAAATTCTGCACATTTTCACAACAGATTGACATAACTCTGTTTTGACTTTGTAGGTATTAAACTAGCAAAACTTAGGCTGCCCAAGAGTACTGCAGAGTTTCTAATTGGGCCATTGTGGATATTTACTGGTATTAGGGATAGCTGTTTTGAATCTGGCAAAGTCTCCTCTGGGTTAAATGTAAGAAGAGGCCTTAAAACAAAAACCATTGCTTAAACCAAAACAAAGCTTTGTGTGAACTCATGCAGGAATGAGAACTGTGTAGGCAGGGTGCCTTGGCCAGCTCATGTTATGGGTGGAAGTGTTTGTATGTGTGTGCAGTTGTGTGGAAGAGAAGCAAGGCAGGCTGTATAAAGACAAATTTTGTAAAGTCTTAGAGGAAACCCAAGGAGATAAACAGATACAGAAATGAGTATTGAAGTAGGTAATGTTGGAAATTGATTAAAAGTGGCTTGGAGACTCGTGTATGTTTTTATCAGTCTGTGCTCATGGGAAAGGACTTCCTGAGCTGTTGGAAAATAAAAAGCATTGCATAAACAATTCTTAATTCCATTATCAGTTTTTCTTCTTACCTCATACAGCTTTAAAACCACAGATTTGTGCATAGCTTCTTGTATCATATAATACATACTTATAATTCAGATGATTTGTGATATCAAAACCAGGTATTTGTTACCCAGTTTTTCTTTTAAAAACTGGGTTTTACACTATTTAATATTGTCCACATGATGGCACCACATTTTTCTGAACAGCACAATTATTGCTATATATGTAAACCACCCTGAAATGTTTAAATCCAAGTGAGCCCCTGATACAATGCCACAAAAGCTAACCAAGTTAAATCGGGCTTGAATTCTGGGCTAGGAGACATCATTAATGTTTTATCATGGTTTTGGAAAATAAAGTTAAGCACCAAAGGTAGACAGAAGAACGTGGAACATTGTGTATTGCATACAATCAGCTTCTTAAAGCTAGTTGGAACCTTAAGTAATTTGTAACCAAAACTTACTTAGAGGAAATTATCTTTACTAACTTTTTCTTTCGCTTTCTATGTAAAGATATGAAGCCTGATGTGTGACAACTGATGCATATTTTTATAGGGGTACTGTTATTACTTACTCCAATTTACCGGGATTAAAATTCTGCACATTTTCACAACAGATTAACATAATTCTGCTTTGATTTTGTAGGTATTAAACAAGAAAAAAATCAGGCTGTGTAGAATGCATGCAGTGTTTCTAATTTGGCCATTGTGGATATTTACTGATAAACACATGGTTTAATATAAAGAATTATGGGATTGAATATTAATGCAGAATCTGAACAATCCTGCAGCTACCACCATATGGTCTAGCAGATAGGGGAATGGAGATCTGAACCATACTCCAGACCTGACCATTGTGTGGGTAAGGGCAGGCACTGTATTTTGCTTGTCCTCGTATTGCATATCATGAAATATGGACAATGATTCTTGCCTCATTTGCAAAGCACTTTGCCATATACCAATGAAATGCAAAATCATGTGTTAAGAAAGCTTTTAATGCTTCTCCCAAATTAGATCCAATATGGATAGCTCTACAAAGTACGTTGTGGGAAGATAAAACTCACTTTGCCTCCATTCCAGGCAGCTCAAAAGCTCTTAGCATAAAGCTGATCCCAAGCTATTAGTCCTTGCCGAGGGACAGGGTGCATTAGTTCTGATTTACTGCTGTGCTAACATAGCTTTCCATAGGTCTGTGGCACAGGGAGAACTCACATCTGCACATGTTTGGCTGCGCAGATGTGTGTTAGCAGCACCATATTTAAGTAAAGAAGAAGTGCAGAGAATTCAAAGGGTCAGCAAAGAAAAGCTGACTAGTCAACTCACACATTGGTAACACTGGAAAATGAAAATCCAGTTTTAAATCTGCCTTTTCGCTTCCCTCTCTTTTACTTGCTTCCCCAACTTGTATTTCACATCATGTCACATCTCTGCCATATCATCTAGCCCAAGCTTACCGATTTGCTGTGGTTATAAAGTGCTTTTCTAGCACTCAACAGAAGTCACTGGCCTCTCACCTTAATCATATCAGTATCTTCAGAGGCTGCTTCCCTTTCAGTGACTGTCACGAAGTATTGTTTTAGCTCAGACAGCTGATCAGAGGAGGAGGACATATGCAGGCTTAGTAACTGGATAAAACATCTGAGGAAAAAAAAACCAACAAAACAAAGCACAGAGAACGTCACAATAAGAAATTCCACACAGAAGTGGAAAAACGTATCCAAGCACTGGAAAATCTGGTGGAGTTGGCAGGTAAGAGTGGTGATTTTGATAACATCTGTGCCCACTCACCCTCAACTAATATTGCACATCTGTTGTAATTTGAGGGGGGGGCATGAAATGTTCTTTTAAAACCACAGCTGTTGCTTTAGAAACATTTAAGACTTTTTAATGCATGAAACTAAACTTAAGGGGGGGCCCAAAATAAAAATACAGATGTGAAATGCCAAATACATTAAATACAAGTGGAAATTAGAAACTCTCTGTGTCATTGTCAGCTACATTTCCCTTCTAATTCTGTTCTGTTTTAGGCTTTGTCCCAGATCTTGTCTCCGTTCTCTGCCTGACCTGCCTTATTTCCTTGCCTATATACAGTACAGAGAGGGACAAGCCCCAGTTTGCTACCTCCCCGCTTCGTGCTGGTTTGACTTCTGTAAAAGCGAATCTAATCCTCAATTCTGCATTTCCCTGGGTAAGAGGAAGAGTGGAAAGATCTGTCACCTTGCTGGATGTGTGCTGTTTCAGCAGGGGTATGAGCAGCCATAACAATGACAACCACATGATTTGCATGATAGGTTAGCATTACTTACAGTGAGAGTGACAACTTGCCATAAAGACCAAGGGAGATCTCCCTATTTTCTTGGTTTTTTTTTTTTAGTCAGCACTGTGTATAGAGGGTATTTAATGAAACAATTGACACTTTTCTTCAGTTGTTTTTTTTTTTTTTTCCACTGCTGGGCTTACACAAGACAACCTCTTTTATGCAAGAGAAGAGAACGATCAGTATGGTGCTAGAAAGCATTGCTACAACAGAGTCACTTAGCTTTCTCTCAAGAAGTTTCTACATTTTTTTGGCAAGGAGGACTCAAAGTGCAGTAGAATAGGCACAAACATTAAAAAATGCCTGACGACTTTAATACCCACATTCAATGACGAAATTATTTCATACACATGCATCTCTGCTGTATGTTTATACGAGAAGCTGAGCACACTAATTTCCCAACATCTGTTAGATCCTGCTTCATACAGCACGTCAAAACAAAACTAAACAGATCATCCAGTTACAGGCCAACTAGTATATATGTTTCTATCACGCTG